GCCGCCTCTGTGAGACACTTGGGTCCCCCGATGCCACCTGGGTGTCCCCCTCCAGGACCTGTCCCCATGGCAGCCCTCCATCAGCCCTGGGTGTCCCCTCCAGGACATGTCCACCCTCACCAGTCCCCTGCCCTGGTCCCCGCTCTGGGACACTGCAGCTGTGCGTGTCCTCCAGGGGACACGCACCTGGATGTTCCCTCCAGGACATGGTCCCATACTGGTTCCCTGGGTGTCCCCTCCATGATGCCCCTCCAGGACCTGTCCCCATGGCAGCCCTCCATCAGCCCTGGGTGTCCCCTCCAGGACATGTCCACCCTCACCAGTCCCCTGCCCTGGTCCCCGCTCTGGGACACTGCAGCTGTGCGTGTCCTCCAGGGGACACGCACCTGGATGTTCCCTCCAGGACATGGTCCCATACTGGTTCCCTGGGTGTCCCCTCCATGATGTGCTGCTGTCCCTGGTTCCCCTGTGTCCCCAGGTGTCCCCTGTGGGATGCAGTGTTGTATCTGAGGCCCTCCAAGGCCTTCAGGTGTCCTTTTTGGCATGTGTCCCCATACGGGCCAGCTGTGTCCCCTGGTGTCACCTCCAGGTTGCCCTGCCCTACCTGAGTCCTCACGTGTCCTTCCTCGGGCACAACGCTGCACCAGGTCCCCCCATGTCGCTGCGCCTCCTGACAGGCCCCCAAGGCCCCTGGCCATCGTCTCCAGGACATGCTGCTGCACCTGGGTCCCCAACTGTCCCCTAGCCATCCCCTAGGGAAGTGCCACCAAACCGGTGCTCCATGTGCCCCCCACCTGTGCTGCGATACCTGGGGCTCCCTTGTCTCCCATCCAGCCATGTGGATGGATCCATCCCCTCCCCACCAGCCCTCCATGTCCCCTGGCTGTCCCCTCCAGACTCTGCTGTCACACCCGAGTCCCCCTAATGCCCTGGGCATCTCCTCCAGGTTATGCTCCCACGCCTGAGTCCCCAGCTGTCCCTTCCAGGACAGGCCCCGTATCAGCCGTCCACATCCCTTAGCCATCCTGTCCTGGTCCCACCATCGTACCTGGGTCTCCATCATGTCGCTGGCCATCCCCTCCAGCCCAGGCCACCAAACCTAGGTCCCTGTCATGTCCCTGGGCAGGGACATGGCCCTAGGACAGGCCCCTGTGTCAGCCTTCCACGTCCACCCCTTCCTGGCTGCATCACACCTGGGTCCCCACCATGTCCCCCAGCCATCCTCTATGTGTCAGGCCACTACGTCTGGGTCCCTACCATGTCCCCTGCACCGTCTGCTCCAGGACGGGCCCCAGTGCCAGCCCTGCTTGTCCCCCATGGCTCCGCTCGGGCTCTGCAGGTCCCGCGGCGGTGGCCGCGCACGCTGGCGCTCTGCAGCGGAGGTTCCCGCGGGCCGGATGGCAGGACGGGCGCCTCGTGTCCCAAATCACCCACCCCAGCAGGTTAGTGGGGCAGAGCTCAGGAGGAGAAGTCCAGAAGCATCAGCTGGACACCAGGGTCAGGAATGAGCCTGGAGGAGGAGGAGGAGGAGGAGGAAGCCCTGTAAGTGAACCGCGTCCGTCCCCGCTCCCCTCCGCTCTCTTTCAGGCTGCGGCCCCCGGGCCAGCAGGACCCCCGGCCGGGTGCCCAGTGCTCCGAATGTGTCGGAGGCCCCATTCCCGGGGGCCATTCAGCTCCCGGGGCCCTTGTGGGGCCCGTGAGGCCTCGGGAACGGAGGCCGCGCATGTGGGTGCCATCTCTCCCGGCTCTCCCGGTTTGGGACCGGGGATCCCTGAGGCCCCAGGATGGGATGGGACGGGGTGGGGGGAGCCCTGTCCCATGTGGGGCAGCTCTCCAAGAGGCAGCGGCTGCAGCGATACCGGTGCCCATCGATCCCCCCGCGTCCTCGCCGCCTCCAAGGAGAATTAATGGCCTTAAATTGCAGCCGAGGTGATTTAAGCCCAGCGCTAAGTAAAAACCCGGGTAACCGCAAGGAGCTGCGGCCGGGGAGTAAATGGCTGGGGGGGTGGGTGGGTAAGAGCCCATTAACCCCGCGGCGTTGGGGAGCGCGGAGCTGGCGCCCGGCCCCGCGTGACCCCCAGAGCAGCTGGCACCGAGGTGTCCCCGGCAGCCGCGGAGCCGCGCGCGGGGTCCTATGGGGGACACCCGGAGCGCGTGAATCCTGCGGTGCTCCTGGCTCGCGCCACAGCACTTCTGAGCCAAAAAGTAGTGACTTCTTTCAAATTGAGATTTTTTTTTTTAATTGCAAAAGCGCCTTCAGGGCCTGCAGGTATCTATACCTGGGGTGCAGAGATTTTTTTAAAATTTTAAATTTTCTTTTCCCAAGCGGAATGCCAAAGCAGCTTTTGTCCAAGACCGTTTTTGGTGGCTCAGACCGCTGGCCCGGACAGGGCAGGTGCCGGCCCCGTGGCGCTCGAGGGCTCGCGCAGACCCTGCTGAGCGTCGGCCCCGTGACAACGAGCCTGGGCCCCGCTCCCTGCTGCGGCCAGGCGGGGATGGAGCTCGGGGTGCTAACCCGGCCCCATTCGCCCGCAGGCAGCGCACCTGGCGCGCGTGAGCTTCGTGGTGCACGCCTTCGGCTCGGCCTTCACCCTCGACCTGCAGCTCAACCAGTGAGTGGCCCCTCCGAGGGGACGGGGATGGGAAACGGCCCCTGTGTGGGGCCGGGTGGTGAGGCGGGAGACAAGCTTCGGGGTGACACACACGTTCCAGGGTCACAGTTTTGGGGCAGGAGATGCATTTCGGGGTGACACACGTGTTTAGGACTGACATACGCATTTCAGGGTCACATGGTTTCAGGGCAGGAGATGCATTTTGGGGTGATGCACACCACATATTTTGGGGTCACACATGTTTCGGGGTCGCACACATTTTGGGGTCACATGTGTTTGGGGGTGACACGTTTCAGGGTGACACACACGTGTTTTGGGGTCTCACACACGTTTCAGGGTCACACACATTTTGGGGTGACACACGTGTTTTGGGGGTGACACACACGTTTGGGGGTGACACACACATTTCGGGGTCACAGTTTCAGGGCAGGAGATGCGTTTCAGGGTCACACACATATTTCGGGGTCACACACGCGTTTCGGGGTTCACACACATGTTTCGGGGTCACACGCATTTTGGGGTGACACACGCGTTCCAGGGTCACAGTTTCGGGGCAGGAGATGCATTTTGGGGTCACACGCGTGTTTTGGGGTGACACACACGCGCGTTTCGGGGCCTCACACACACACGCGCGCGTTCCAGGGTCACACACACGTTTTGGGGTGACACGTGCATTTCGGAGTCTCACACACACACACACGTGCGCGTGTTTCGGGCGGAAGCCACGTTCTGCGGAGCCGCGGTGCGGCGGGGCAGGGAGGTGGCAGCGGGGGCACCCATGGCCGCCCGGCAGCGCTCAGCCCCCGCCGGCCCCGCAGCCACCTCCTGGCCTCGCGCTACGTGGAGCGGCACCTCGGCGCGGGCGGCCACG